AAGGCTAAGGTTAACGAGTGGCAGAGTTTGCCTTATATTGGCCCGTATGAGGAGATGCCGATTGAGGGGACGAGGAGGAGTAAATTTGGGACGAAGAAAATGGAGAAGCGGGCTGCTGGGATTGTTCATGAGTTTTTGAGTTTGACTGTGGAGAAGATGGTGGAGGTTGAGAAGATTAGTCAGTTTAGGAAGTGGTTTGGGATTGATTTGAATATCCGGGATTTGTTTTTGGATCATCCAGGGATGTTTTATTTGTCGACGAAAGGGAAGAGGCACACGGTGTTTCTACGAGAGGCTTATGAAAGAGGATGCTTGATACAGCCGAACCCTGTTTATGAGGCAAGGAGGAAACTTCTTAATCTTGTTAACATGGGACGCCGTGGAATGTTAAGAAGGAATGCTAAGTTGAAGAATGTGGGTCAGAGTGAAGGGGATGGATTGGAAGAGGTGGAGAATTATGAAGATGAGGAACTAGAAGAGGCAGAGAGTAATGAAGATGAGGAACTAGAAGAGGCAGAGAGTAATGAAGAGGATTAGTTCAGGTAATTGTCATTTGGATGCTGAAATCAAGGATTTGAGACATAGGATAACAAAAGCCAAGATGTGTGAAACATAAACGTCATCTTTTTAATGTGGCTCTATGAGGAACATCTCATCCTCAGTCGAACTGGGAGGAACCAGCTAAGAGCAATTGACTCCTTAATGTGATTGCAACATCAGTCCTGAATTCACGAGGTTAGAAACTTGAATGCATTTCTTCTTTTATGTTCAAACAATTGAATTTTGAGTTAGCTTCTCTATAACCCTTCCCTACCGTGGTTAAGTTCTTGTGACACCTGTTTATGAATTTAACTATGTTAGTCAGTGCGGAGATATGTTAGTGAAGTCTATAAATTGAACACCTTCTTGACTCATGCTCAGAAAATGCTCTTACATATTCTAGTCCATAGATTTAACGAACTTTTTCTCTGCAAGCTGAAATTTTTCTTCTTTGTTTGTTTGCATAAAGGAGATGTTATCTAACTTAACTGACCAAGTGCCGCATTGTTTGCCCGTATGTAAAAGTTAATTCATCTATTTCGTGGTATGTAGTTTACAAAAATACAGGTGTTCAAGTGGATTGGAACGTGTTCTCTTTGTACACTGCTGTTGCTTCTTTAAGACGCTTTTATTTGCCTATGTCGTAAACAATTTTTCTTATAAGTCGAGGACATGTTGCAATGTTCTGCTTCCTGGTTTGCTAGTCTTGTGGGGCATGCTATTTTTTTCCGTATCTAGTGATATCATGTTCCATAGGTAATGGAATGATGCCACCTTGTTCTCTGTGTCATTGCTGATATAGCAGCAAGAATACAGTTACTTTCATAAAATCCCAACTGAGACATGGGGCCTAAGACATATAAATCATATTGGTTGCTGAGACATGTTTTTTCCGGATCTGGTGGTATTATGTTCCATAGGTGATGGAATGATGCCTCCTTGTTCTCTGTGTCATACAGCAGCAAGAATACAGTTACTTTCATAAAATCCCAACTGAGAACTCAGATGGGGAAATTCAGTGACAAAGCTTCACTGTGACATGTCGGATGCAGTATACATAGTATAAATACAATTCCTTGGTTGTTCTGCTTCTAAAATGAACAGGCCTATTGATTTTTCTTTAAAAGATTTCTTGGTCACTGGTAAATGCACCCTTATGCTAAGTTATATGTTTCTACCAAAGCTTTAATGATTTTCATTAGCACGAGGCTTTTGACAATTCCACTCAGGATAAATTACGTACTCTTATTTTTTCCATAATATGCTTAGAATTTAAAGTAAGCGAACGGTAGGGTGGCAAGACCTTCTCCCCCCCCCCCCCCCAAAAAAAAATAATGTTCTTTGTTGTTTAAAAGTTTTTGATAATTTAAGGGGACATAACTCTTATGGAAGCCCTATGCATTGAGGTGCTGTAAAATGTTGAACAATAGCAGGACCGGGATGGATGTTGTCTGGACGGAAATCCTTTTGCCTCCCTATCAAATCTTTTCAGCTCTAGCCTTCTGAGAAAATGCAGTGATCTGATAAAAGTATCACCTAGGAATTAACATAATTCAGTTTGAAAGTGATAATATCTGAGGAGTTTTTACTTTCTGTTCCTCAGCAGAGATTTTAAAAAAACTGGCCCTTTGTTTGGGGAGTAGGTTCCTGCATGGTCTCTATTTGTGCATCGATGGAATTTTATTTGACCAAAGAAAGGAGATGTTTATCTACATTTTTATGTGAATGTAGATTAGTGGACCTAGCTTTCTTCTTATCCGGGTGATTGGTTGGATGACTGTCAAGGTTTTAGTTGAATGAAAAATTGAATTACCTCAGGCCTTTCATAGTAATCTTAATCCTTTTTATTTCATCTCTTTTCTTTATTCAACTGAAGCTCAAGTGAACGTGTCTGAACTTCTCTAAGATACATGTAATAAAAATTTGGAGTATTTCTTTCTGGAAGAAGAAATTAATTGTACTTTCTAGATGTTGGTGTAGTGGCTTGGTATCGTTCAGGAAATGAGCGTTAGTAGAAAGTCATATATTGATTATATAGATATTTTGGGGGGCTTATCAATGAGATAATCTAGATATTTGCTTCTTACCAGTACCACTTCATGTCATCCCCCCAAATTCTATTAAGGGAAAAAGGTTTGGCTTTTGTTCTGAAGTGTCTTAATGTAGCCAATGAGTCAAACTTGGATGTCCAGCTTTAACAAAATTAATCTACTAGAGATTACTGGACAGCGTTTGGTTGCGGCATAAGATACTCTTTTTTTATTTATTTATTTGTTTGTTTGTCTTGATCTGTTGGTAATGTTTCTTGCATATCTTGATGCCATTCTTTATAACTTGTCGACTCTTTTCATAACTAGGTGAATAGCTTGATGCATACTGCTGAAATGACTTTTGAACCAGAAAAGGTTCCTAAAATTAAAAAGCTCAAGGAAAAGCACGATGTCCAAGACCAAAAAAACTCTTTGGTATATCTGATTCAAGTGATAAAGAGGCTATGGAGAAGATGCCGTAATCTAAGGGCAAAATGACAATGGAGCCATCTGGAATTTTGCATCATTTGCTGAAGGTAGTACATGCTGCTCCGATGATAAATTCTGATACTTTGAACGCTCAAAGTGGGAGTTTTGATCGTTTGCCAACTAATGCTGGGAAAGGGAGTGACAGTTTTGCCTCCACAGGGAATAGGATGATGCAAAATGTTGTTTTGACCAAACAAGTAATAGAGTTTGCATTACCCTTAGAGAACTCCAAAATTGAATCATTGCTGGCAACTGCGAAGAGTGTGTGATGCATAAAAGCTGAAGACAGTCAGTCTAGTGATGAGGAGAATAGCAAATTTGGAGGTTCATTGACTGAAAATGCCACTGAACTACGTACTAAAAGTATAGACTTGAACAAGGAAAACCACAGTGGTCTTAGTAAGCTTGATACTATTTTATGTCAGTTTATAAAATAGATTGTAAATCAGGAAATATGATCTTTGTACGTGTTGAAGTTAGGTGCTATGAACGATCTCAGTGGTGTCGCGGAAGTGGATGGTGGTACAATCATCAAGCATATTCACTGCTGTCCAGTGGAAAAGGTAATTGCATTTTTAGTTCTAGAGATGTATAAAGATGTGCCCTGATTTCAGCATCATTTTTCTGAGCTCTTGTTAAAAATGTTAGTGAATGTTAGCTCATTTACATGAAGGTTAATGTAGCATGTGATCCTTATGGGCAAATTAAGCCCCATTAATATGATTTGTTGTTGTACCTATTTTCATCACTTGGAAAGTATGGTTGAAGACGATTTCCTGTGTTAATGCTTTCCCAGCCTTCCCTTGAATCTTCTGCAGACCCCGGAACTTGTACTGGTTTAATGCTGTTCTTGGTTGAGGACCATATTTAGTAGAATAGTTGCATCTTCTTGTTGGCTAAAACTAGACAAGGCAAATGGGCAGGGCGGACAGGAACTTAAAATGGGATTGAAAAATACTGGGTCCATGCCCATGCAGACCCATGTTGATTATAGGACTAATGTGTGTGGGACTAAGATACTGCCCAAAAAAATTCCATTTTATCTATTGATCTTTTTTATTTTTTGAAAACCCCCTTTCTCGTTAATCCATATGCTTAATTTTTGCCCTTTTTTATATCATTTATTTTTTTTTATTTTGTAAAAGCTCTGTACTTCTTTTTGCTTGTCATGCAATAATTTTTAAAAATAAATGTTTTTGTCGAAATAGTTTATTTGATCATTGCAATGTATCAACTAATTTCTCGTTTCTTTGAAACTTACTGGTTGCCGTGTATTGACGCAAAAAAGAAAAGAATGAAGAAGAAGAAGCTATGCAAAAGTTGAGATTGATAGTCGTCTTAACTTTCCCTTCTAAGATCTACACAAAGACAAAATTTGCATCGTGATGCGGAACATGAGGAAGCCTTTTCTTATTTTCCCTTTTATATAAATATTAAGAACAAGAGGAAGTAGGAGAGTATATCTCAATATTCACGAAATTTATGGAGGGTTAGGTGTCTCGACTTTCTTCTATCTTTTCTTTTCTCATACACAAGTATGAAGATAGATTTCTTTTTTATTAATATTCCTCTAATCAATTGGCAACTAACCCAATGAAAAACATCCAATGTAATTTTAGGATTCATATAGCACATGATTAGGTAGGAATGAGGAAACACTTAAATTTCTTTGATAAAATTAAAGAATTTCCGAATTTTCTTCTGATCAGATCACTGGATCGACCCAATGTTTGTTTTTATTTAAAACATTGATGTACTTTTTTTAACATATAATTTCACTCTAATTAGCCTCATTCATTACATTAAAAACTTCTTACCAAAAAAAAAAAAAAATTTTTTTGTTTTGCCATTAAGTGGCATGAACGAGGCTAATTTTGAAGTGAATTTCAGTTTCGACATTTTTATCACGAGCTTGAGAATCACCACTCCACCAGTCCTCGTGAAACCAAATATCAATGCAAGTCGTGATTATGTAAATAAGATGGTGAACGAAATCAACAAAAGCTGGTTTTGAACCGTTGAATCTTTTCAAGACATTCTCGAGCCCTCTCAATGGCCAGATCAATCCTGTTCCTTCTTTCGCTGCAGCCATCCCCAGCAACCCTTTGAAATTTCCGTTTTGGTCCTTCAATATTCTCATCCTCCATAACTTGTCGATCCAGAGAATCTTCTTTCTTCCTCTTCTTGCAAGCTGATGACTCTGTAATCACAACAATATACAACAGAGAAATTCCCATGAAGAAAAGAAAGAAATCTGCTATAGATCATAAAGGGGTAAAGAAAGAAAAAACGCAGAACAGACCCCGAGTTGAGACAGATGAAATATTTGAGTAACCAGTTGAGTTCTTGTAGTTGTCATGACCAGAAGGAAGAGGCAAGTTTTGTGACTCCAAGCGCGAGATGAAGGATTTAAGTTCATCCTTTAAGCAGTTAAAATTATCTGGTTGTTGAGCTTCCAAAATTTGCAACTCCTCCTTCGCTTGTTCTATCATTTCCTTCGTCTTCGACCCTGATGCTGAGCCGTATCCCCATAACGATGATGAACCTTCCATTCCGCCGGCCCTCGTGCTCAGTCTCAGTGGACAGAAACAAGAAACTATGGAGATTGACTTGCTAGAAAATTTAAAGAATGGAGAATGACTTGCAACTTGCAAGTGTGGGTTTTGACCGAAGGGGAAAAAAAATGCAAAGACCCGGAAATTAACCAGTTTGTCACTTTATTGCAACAACACCAACTCAAGGAACCTGGAAAGCTTTCTTGCAATAAATACATTTGAAAAAGTTGCTCAGAAGGAGCAACATGAAAAGACATTCTGCTGTTTCTCGACTTTCAAAGTCCCTTTTTGAACGTTTTGTCCCCCCACAAGTAGTACCACTCTGTTCTGAAATTTTTTGTAAAACAAATATATATTATAGTAATTTAATGGATGTAAAACAAAAATGTAATTAAAAAATAAAATTTTTTATAAAAATGACAACTCAAACAAGGATATTTTTTATGGAGAAATTGGTTGATAATACAACAATACAATAACAACGTTGTAATTTTTTTCAACTATCATGGTGAGTGTGTTTGGATGGTAGATTATTGAAGATAACTTTTTTAAAAAAATATTGTATATTTTTTTATGTAATGTATATGAAATAAAAAATTAATTAAAAAATATATTGATAATGTAAATAAATAAAAATATGCAAATAATTTACAGTGCAAAAAAAAAATATACATACCCAAAAAAATTTATTTATTAAAGACTTCATATATTGCAGGAGAAAAAAGGTTGATTGCCATTCGGGTCGACAAAAAGTCCGATATGGAGACACGGCTACAATGCAGGCACAATGCATGTGTAGAATGTTTTGAAATGGATCAGACCAACTTGTAGACCATTTCATCTGGAATTTTTTCTCATTTTCTCAAATAGGTGAGTTGGATACTGCGTGTGAGTGCATGGCAAGTAGAAACTTACTATGCATAGGGAAAAAAAACAGAAAAAAAAGACTGAACCAACGCCAAAAATTGGAATTACAATTCCAGGTTTCCTTTTGAGATTTAGAAGATAAAGCACACTCCACAAGTGCGTAGTAGCATCGTGCATACTCTGTAAGTGCTTCTATAGATTTCAAAAGGGTTCGTCTAACGTTAAAATATACGTGGGTGTTAGATTTTTGAAAAAGTAAAATTAATTAGCAAAAGTATATAATTATAAATAAATATAATAATTACTAGTTGAGTTACATTGTGCTGCGCATAGCCAGTGCCCACTAAAAAGTATTTAATGTATTAATTGATCAAGTAATATATTCGTGGTATCTGCAATCATTTTTTGAAAAAAATAACAAAATGTATACGTATTTTCATAATTTAGAAGTGACAGCGTAGTTGGTGTTTAATAATGAAAAGAAAAATGTGCATATTTTTTCACAAAAACACATTGTTTTTTTGTCACTTTTTAGTGGTATAAAGGAAAATGTGCATGGTTGTTTAAAAAATATACTACCAGTTTTGTTAAACTCTAAAGAAGTATTTATTTTAAACTCTTTATTTTTTATAGTATAGAAACCATTCAATTATATATGAAAAATTAGTTTTATTTTTATTAGCTTGGAATAGCATAGTCCTTTTATTTTTTTGTTTGTTTTTTCATGAGGTTGCATTATTGAATTATATTGTGAAGAAAACAAATGATAGATAATTGAAAGTTAATTGTCTGGAGATTTTCTTGGCTCGCTCCGTGGACATTATATGATAGAAATCTATTTAATTTTCATCTCAAATAAGCTTGTCGCCTATATATCTAAAAATCAGAGACAATATCTAAAAAATAATGGTCAAAGGTTTTAAACTCTAGCAAAGTGCATCACAAAGTTAACAATCCAACAAAAACTAAAGGGAGAACAATTGATAAATTCAAATCCAACAACTCAAAATTGACAATAAAAAAGAATTTATTTAATAAAAAAAAATAAAAATAAAAGAATTTTGTTTCTCTTATTCTTTTTTTTCAAATCCATAGTATATGTTTTGGTAGATTTTTTTTCCTCTAAATCCCAAACAAATAGAAAAAATCTAAAATACAAATTCAAATGCATGATATAGTTATATTTACTTTCTAAATAAATAAGCTTGCATTTACACTTACAATTTGTAGGCTTTTTCACTGATTTTAATGCTATAAAACAAATTGTTTAGATCGTTTTCCTTTTTTTTTCTTTATAGCAAGTGGTTAGACTGCTCTTCTCTTACCATACTTCATATCATATCATCATTCCATGGTCCAAAATTTGCAGTCCGTTTGCATTCTTATGATGGCAGAACAAAGGTCAAGGCAGCAAAAGAAATGCAAACTTCACTTAGAGGTGTCAAAATGGGTGACTTGGACGGGTTTGAGTTGAGTAAAATGGATAATAGGTATAAGTGAGTCAACCCATTTATACTCATTTAATTAGATGGGTATAAATGGGTAAGTCAAAAAATGAATTGGGTAACCCAATTACCCATTTATAACTCATTTATTTTAACTTTTTGTAAACTTATTTAAATTCATTTTTGCAAACTAAGTTATCAATTTATACCGCTCTTTGTATCCACCATTAGTTTTAAATATTTACTTACAATACTCAATAAGCCTAAATACCAATTCTTTTCCCATTTATACTCTATGTAGCAAAATTACATATTATTTAATAATTTAATAATAAGAATATAACAATTTGAACTAAGTACTATAAAAGTTAATATAAAAACTTAAATCAAAAATTTTGAATCCCTAACATTATTTTCATATATAAATTTAAAATTTCATTTTAGAAAGATAAGAAAATAGGCTAAAACTTATCATAAATTGGTAATGCTGAAAAATGAGCAAGTTAACAAACTAAGATAAAACCAACAAATAATAATAATAATGAAACAAAAGTAGTTAACATCATGACAAAATGAAAAATCTGAAAAAAAAAAGGGTGGGGGAAGATAAGAGACTTGGGGGAAGATAACTCTAAATGGGTTAATTGGATCTAATGGGTTACCCAGTAATACCCATTTAAGTGGGTTGGTTAATCCATTTATACCCATATACAAAAATTTAAGATACCCATACTCATCTATTCATGGACGGGTATGGGTAAATTTAGTTCAGTAGGTTGGTTTGCCACCTATAACTTCACCTCCCATCGTGGCACATGGCAATGCCTAAAGAAGCTACAATAGAGCCAACGGGTTATTATATCATATATAGTTAGATTAAAACTAATCTAAGGGTGATGGATTAGACAACGCATCAACTTAGTCTCATAATTGAGCTTAATGAAACTCATTAGACCTAAAGAAAAAGATATGGCCTAGTCCCTTTTAAAGTCATAAATTATCCCAATGGGTCCTAGTTGAGAAAAATACATTTTTGATATCCAAATTTTGACATATGAATGGTTTTAATCCCCAATTTTGGATAATGACAAATCTAGTACCAAAATTTTCAACTATTGAGTATATTTAGTACATCTGATGGATTTTTCCCAAATTACTATCGAAAAAAGTCATTTAATAGTTACATGTCTAGCAACTATTGTATAAAATTGTCAAAAAAATGTAAAATATCCTTTTGACACTAAGTGTCATGTAAAATATCTTTTTGGCACTAAGTACTAAGTTTAAGGACTAATAATTTGATCAAGTAAAATATTCTTTTGACACTAAGTACTAAGTTTAAGGCCTAATAATTTTATTAAAAGGTTTTTTACATTTTTTGACATTTTTAACGCAATAGTTACCGGACATGTGACTATCACGTGACTGTTTCTGGTAACAATTTGGGACAAAGCTGTTAAAGGTACTAAATGTGCTCAAAAGTTAAATATTTGGGTACCGGATTCATTTTCGTCCAAAGTTTGGAGACGAAAACTGTTCATCTGTCAAAGTTTGGATACCAAAACTGCATTTTCCTCGGTCCTAGTTTGGTCTAAACACATGGGAAGGAGCCAAAGCAATTTGCAAGAGAAAATATATTGAAGTCATGCCACTTGTCAAATAACCAGAAAGCCACGTGACAAGATGAGAAACAAAACACTAAACCTCCTATTTTTCTTATATATGTGCATATGTATAATAGATTTGGTGAAATCTATGTGTAATAATAAATGTCCGTTAGGAAAAATCCGTTAAAAAAATATAATAAAACTACAAGAATCATAAACCATTGTAGGCGAAAGTAGCTTTTCATTTTTTCGTTTTGGAAGGCAAGTAAAGTACTAAATCTTTCAAAAGATAAGACAATCAATTACATTTATTACAATTATGTCGGAGCTCAATTTTAGAAGGTAAGTAAAGTACTAAAACTTTCAAAAGATAAGACAATCATTTACATTTATTACAATTATGTCGTAATTGGAGCTAAATTTTAGAAAGTAATTATTAACATTTGTGAGGATATCTGTTAATTATAAATAGGATTATAATACTATATTTGAACTAGAAGTCTCATGCTTTTGGAAGAAAAGAAAAAGAACTAAATTAATTTACAAATAAAACTGCTCAAGACTTGTCAATTTTATATCCAGAATTAATATTAACGAAGCTCATTTTTTAAAAAGTAATTATTAGCATTTATGAGGATATCATGTATATATATATAAAGCAGTTTGTAGATGATTGTTGGAAAAAAAATTTATATGCCATCTTTAGGGATAATTTAGGTAGGAAAAAAAATCAAATGCAAGTGATTGTGTCAAATCTGCAACATTATAATGTATAGTTGAGTTGGGTTTGACTATCGTGTCCTCCCACTTGCGATTGGCTTATATTCCATATGATTATCAAGTTTTAAAGTGGTGTTTAGACCACTTGAAATAATAGAGGGTCTTAATACTAAAGATAATTGGTTCAGGATGCACTTTAATAATGAACATGATTATAGTGCTTTTCAACTTGATAATAATGAAGACTTTTAATACTGAAAAATGTTGCTTCAAGTGTTTGTGTTCAATCTTTTGTTGTCGATGTTTGGATAGGTATGATCATTTACTTTCTTTCTTTCTGGAATTTTGAATGTTTATCTGATACAGTAAAAATTGTGAATTTTCTACTGCAATACCTTCTCAATAGCCACTGATTGAATATGAAAATTTCGTTATGGAATATATGATACATGCATATGAATATCCATAGGAACCTTCTCACATTTTCTAACTATATTTCCAAAATCTAATGTTTGTGGCAGCAGGAGGTTAAACTGCGATGAAAGAATATCTATTGATTGCAATTTCATGTCTAAGGTGGGATATAAATCTGACATTATAGTTGATACATGTTAATTGTTGATTTGATATGGCTATGATTTTGTTATAATGGTATATTAACAATGGTAATGATGTTTTTGCTATTATTGTTATGGTATGGTGCGATTATCTACTACAATCTCTCTCTTTTTTTAAACTTATAAATTCATTTTCCTTTATAGTTTGTTGATTTGGCCAATTTACTTATAATTCCATGCACTTCAACTGATTCAATTAAACCAATTACGATGCAATTATAATTCAACTATTTTTTTTAATAAATTTATTTGAATAAATATTTTATCACATAGGTTAAATCTCCTGCACTTAGCATGGGCTTCCCCTATAGTGTGTTAACAGTGTGTTTGGATAGCCAAATAATGGCAAAAAATTATTTGCTTACATCATAAATACAATTTCTAACACACTTCTTTATTTTTTCAATTACCTTTTTATCTCACATACATCAAATCACAAAAAGTGCCACAATAATTATTCTAAATAATATTTCAAATAATCTCCTATCCAAACACAAACGTTTGAACCAGAAATCTAGTGCATTCGAAAAGAAAAAAAAGGACTAAATTATTTTACAAATAAAACTGGTCAAAACTCTTAAAGTGCAAAATGCATTTAATGACTTTAAATACTTAACCTCTAAACTAATTTTAATGAGTGCCTATTGCACATAAGGAAAACAAATAAATACCAAACAATTCGTATAGATACATTTTACGCCAGGATTTTTCTAAATAGCACATGCAAAACAAATATTTGGGCAAAACGTTTAAGAGATTAATTTTTATACATTATCAATGTAAAAATTTTTTGTACACAAGTAGGCTTAAATGAATGCTACACCAACACTGTTCAAATTTTGAATTCACTTTTTATCAATGTATTATATATCCATGCTTGTCAGGTAAAAAATCTTTACATTAATAGTGTATTATAAAACATTAATCCAACATTTAAACAATATAAATCCTTAAACTAAACAGGTATGTCAAATTATTCTTTAAGCAAAACATATTAGGAAAAACAATACAAATTATTCTAAACATTGTTACTACATTCAATGCATTCTAAACCGATTTAAGATAATAAAGTGTTGAAACGTCAAATAGGAATATGTGAACATATTCACAAAATTGGTTCCAATTTAGGATACAAATCTCATAGCCCAAACGGTGCTTAAATGGTTCGTAGTAAAAAACACCAGGGCTGGAAATTGTTTGGGTCCAATTTGCAGCCAAGTGTTGCCAACTGGACATCTGGTGCCCACAAAGTTTGAGCAACAAAAACCATGGGCCAATATTAATTGACAAAATTACCCTCACACTCTCCCTGCTATAAATATTAAACATCCGCAGTGAAAATTTCCGAATCATTCCTCCAGTAAAATATTTCATATACATGCAAATTTACACGACACAAAAAATATCTCTCCCTTCTTAAGCTTCCTTTTCCCTCTAAAAATACTGACTTGAACACGTGTCAACGGGTGGACAACGGCGGAGAATGGTGGACTCGCCCTCGGAAGAAGAGGCCGCCGATTTTAGGGAGGCGCCGGATGAGCTGCGCTGTAGAAGGTCTGACGGTAAGACGTGGCGGTGCCATAGCTGGAGGATCCATGGAAAACCCTACTGCGAAAAGCATTACCTCCAAATCGTCGGAAAAAATTTGAAAAGGAAATCTTCTGCTCCGTCGAGAAATTCTAGGTCCGAGAAAAGGCGTTCGGAGAAATCTAAGGCTAGTGGTAGTGGTAAGGCTGGTGGTTTTGTTGCAAATAAGTCGAAGAAGTTAGGGCTTTCTAGCGGTGGTAGCAAAGATAAGAGGAGCAAAGGTGGGGGCGGCGAGTCTAATTCGACAGAAGAGGTGTTGCCAAAGAAAAAGCCGAGGAGTAAGAGGATGAGAGTGGAGGCGGAGGAGGAGGAAGATAGCGAAGAGACAGAGGAGGATGAGAGGATGAATGTTGTGAAAATTACTGGTAGAAGGAGTGATGAGAAGGGGGGAAAATTCGAGAGCCACAGGGGAAATGCTGTTAAGAGATCTAAGGTGGGTGATAAAATTGATTCTCTGATGAAAAAGAAGCAAGTTGGTTGGTTGGAGGAGAGTGATGAGGAAAGAGGTGATAAGGTGGGTGATAAAATTGATTCTCTGATTAAAAAGAAGCAAGTTGGTTGGTTGGAGGAGAGTGATGAGGAAAGAGGTGATGTTGCAAAAGGTGCTAAAGGGAGTGCTAGGGATAATGTGGTTCAAAGTTCTAAAAGGGGTGGTAAAAGTGAGTTGAGGAGGAAGCATGCCAAGGAGATTGAAAGAAATGAAGAGAGTAGCGATGATGAAGAGTACTGGTTCAAAGAAATAAGTAGTGCTACAGAAAGTGGTGGAGTTAAGTTGGAAAATGAGAAGAAAGCTGTGAGAAGTTATCGGAGTGATGATGAAGAGGTAGGAAGGCGTAATGTGATTAAAATTGGTAGAAGGAGTGGAGAATTTCAGGATGGTGTAAAGGACAGTGATTCGAGTGATATGAGTGATGAGGAGGAGGGGCAGAAATATAAGGTGGAAAAAATTGATAAGGGGCATAGGGAGCTCGAGTTGGGTAAGAAGAAGGAAGTTCAGAGCAGCGAAGAAGATACTGAGGAGGAAGAGGAGGAGAGGAGTAGAGAGCTAATTACTGCTGAAAGTAGTGGCGGGGATAAATGGGGGAAAAAAAAGAGGAAAGTAGAGAGGAATGACCAGATTGTTGATGGAGAAGGGAAGGGTAGCAGGCGTAAAGGTGGTCAAAGGTGTGGTCAACTTGAGCTGCGAACAAAGATGAAAAATGATCGGAGGGCAATGAGTCATGAGGACAAGGAGGAAGATGGTGAGAATTCGAAGAAGAAAAATGGAGATAGTGTGGTGAAAATGTTGAAAAAGGGTTCCAGGACCAAGACACTGAAAGTGGCGATGAAAGATATGAAATCTGAAGAGGATAATTTTGATGATGGTGGTTTTGAAGATATCATGAAAGATGGTAAGGATGAACGTGGTAAGAAGAAATCTCAGCTGTGGGTGAACGCTAAGGAGGTTGGGAGAGTAAAAGCAGAGGGAGATGGTGATGATGGTATTGATGTCGATGGCTCTAAGGAGAATTGGTTACAGGGTAAGAGTAACAAGGTTGAGAAAGGGGAAGTAGCTGGATGTGACAATGAAGGTGATAATGTTGATGGTTCTGAGGAGATGGATGATGCTTGTTTAATAAAATTTGCAAAAAAGGATTTCATGCCTGCAACTTTATTGAAGAGAGGACAGAAGAAGTCACGGGAGAAGAAAGGGGGGTTGAGTAACATGTTTAAAGATGAGAAAGAGGAAAGATCCAGCGATAAGGATAAAATTGGCGATGAAAATGTTAAATCTGTGTTTAAGGCAATAAAGAAAGTCAAGAAAACTTTGAAAACGGATTCAACTGAAGAGAGGAGGAGGAGGAAGGGTCCAAAAATGGAAAAGGTGGGAGGAATTGAGGAAGAAGACGATGATCGTACAGAATCAGATGATGGAGCACACTTAATTAGAGAAAGGAGTTCTCGGGAGAAGAAGAACTGCCATAAGCCCAAGGTTGATCTTAGAAGAAAGCACTTCAGTACTGATGTAAGTTGTCTGCTGGCTTCTTAAGATTATATAGTTGGAATAGTATGTAATCTATTGGGATGAATCACAGTCATACTAAGAGTTGAATGAACAGGATCCTGAAGATGATTGCCAAATGTGCCACCAATGCATGTACAGCAATAAGAGGGTTGTGAGGTGTCGCAAGGAACGGCAATTGAATGGCTATAATAGGCGCTATTGTTGTCTCTGTATCAAAAGATGGCAAGTGTATCTGGAAGATATTCCAATTTCACATTTGAGTGATATTAATAGATCCCAAAAATTACATGCTTGTTCTGCCATATTTATTAATTATTGCACCATGTTAACTGCAAGATGGAAAATAAGCTTTTGGCTGTTCTAATTGATTATGCGAGAATCATGTATACTGTGGTATGTGCGCCTTGTATTTCTGGAGTACAGGCCAAGTGCATTATGTTATCTGTTGATCAGCGTCTCTTGGCTGAATAAGGAAGTGTATGAGTCATTGATGGTGTGCTAACATATGAGGTTCTAGGTTGGGTTCCACTGTTTAGCATGCAAAATAATGAATGGTTTTCAAGTAGATATTGTCTTTTGGTTCTCAAATTTTATCTGATTGCGTTATATTTTAGGTTTTTACCTAGTGCATCAGCATTTTATAGGGAATTGAGTGCAATCACCAATTCTGTGTATCTGTGGTGTGTCTTTTTCATTAGTATAGCTTATCATAGAGATGTGCACTCTTATTAATTTGAGCTACTTTGGATGTTCTAGTCTACTGGCTCTGGCTGATCTTAGTGTGCTGGTGGCGGCATGGCAGTAGTACATGTTTGTGTTAAGCTTGTGCCATTACTGTATTTTCTTGTCAACAACCTTCTTTATCAGTTATATGGTGCTTTTCAGCTCTTATGTGTGCTGGCTTGAGTAGATGCTAATAGAGTGCTTAGCTTGTCCTAATTGCAATATTTACCACTATATTTGACTGAAATACAGGTACCCTCAGCTTTCAGAGGAAGCAATAGCAGAAGCATGCCCATATTGCCGAGGAAACTGCAACTGCAAAGCTTGTCTACGAAGAGATGAGATACAGAATGTAAGTTTTTGCTGCATTGGGTTGCTTTCTTGCTTCCAGGGTAGACGGTGGTAATTTATTATTGGTTGTGTTCATTATTGCAGCAAACTGTATATTCTGGGACTCCACAAAATGAAGCTGAAGTGATACATCACTTTAAGTATCTTGTTCGCATGGTTGCCCCTATTCTCAAACAATTTGATCATGACCAAATGGTGGAAAAGGAGACAGAAGCTAAAATTCGAGGTATCACTTAAATATTTTAGATGGATTTGAGCTTGCAGGTGCTTTTGTATTTTTGCATTTTTATTGGTTTCCTTTTTCCTTTTTTTTTGGCTTGTGTTCTGGGGGGTTGGGGGGTTTTAGGGGTGGGTGGGGAGTTTGCTCTATGCTTATTAGCCATCATCTCACTAATGCTTTTTCTTCTTCTCGAACTCTTCTCCATTTCGGTTCTCTTGGTTATAAGTTATTGCGAAAGGGCTTGTGTTTTGCTACCGAAGTGGACAAACATGAGAGGGAGGTGGGTGAGAAAAGATTGAACAGACTGCTTATTATATGAAGATGTCAAGATGGTTTACCTAATGTATTTCTAATAAAACTGCATGTATACTTCTTTCTGTCAGTATTTTGGTACTTCTACATGTGATAAATGTTGGTTATACAGGAATATTATCGTCAGAGATAGGAGTAGAGAGGATTAGATGTTTCGCGGATGAGCGTCTTTATTGGTAGGCCACTTCTTTATTGATTAGTCATTTTCTTAGTAACTAAGTTGATCCTATTTTGGAGGTTTGAGAACTTACACATGCTTATGCAGTGATTGTTGCGGTACCTCTATAGTTGATTTCCACAGAAGCTGTCCAAAGTGTTCTTATGATCTCTGTCTGACTTGCTGTCGAGAAATACGTGAAGGCTGCTTACAAGGAGGTAGTAAGGAAGTTGTTATTGAGTACGCTGACCCGGGGAAAGGATACTTGCATGGAGAACTGCAGGTGCCTCCAAAACAAGAAAGCTTTTCAGGTTCATGTAGTGAATCAGTTCCTGGGATGGAAAGTACCCTTCCTGACTGGAAAGCAAAAGAAACTGGTGAAATTCCTTGCCCTCCTAAAGAAAGGGGTGGTTGTGGGTATGAGCAACTGCAGCTCAGGTGCATATATGCTGAACAAGATGTGTTGGATTTCAGAAAGAAAGTCGAGAATTTAATTGAGAGCCATAGACTTGGCAACTGTAGTGAAACTTCCAAGCAGTGTACCTGTTTCGAATACAGTGATGATTCTGATATTGGAGATAAACAACTGAAGAAAGCTGCTTCAAGAAAGAATTCTGGTGACAATTACTTGTATTGTCCCTCTGCAACTGACCTCCAGCAAGGGGACTTGGAGCACTTCCAGAAACATTGGATTAGGGGAGAACCAGTCATCGTTGGCAATGTTCTTGAACTAACATCTGGGTTAAGCTGGGAGCCAATGGTCATGTGGCGTGCAGTACGTGAGATCCTAGTTAAAAAGGGATCGTCGGATTTGTTGGTGACAGCAATTGATTGCCTTGATTGGTGCGAGGCAAGTCCTTTCTGTCTATCATTTTTTTCATTCTTTCCTGTCTGATTTTCTTCTCTCTTTTGCAGTCTTCTTATGTGACAATCAATGTGCTTTTCCAATTTATCTGATTCTCCATTGAATGGCAGTTATCCTAACACGTGCTGTTAGCATTTATGGAGTAGTAGTAGTTGATGGTAAATGTTGGCAAATTGTGTGGCTATTTTTGGAAGGATGCTAACTATCTTGGTTTACTCTTTAGCTGTTGGTAATTACGTTCTTAGCTTCTCTTCAATTCTTTAAGCTGCTGGAGCATCTCTCTTAAATTCTAGAAAATGTAAGATCTTTTTCCCAACTACAAGATCACTTCCATAAAGAAAGGTCTAAATCTTATCTGCGTTTTAGGAGTCGCAGACATTCTTGAACCTAAATACGGATCAAGAGATGTGCCACATGAATTGGCTGATATATGGTTCTTTTTCTTTGGTTCATGACATATAGCTGTTAAAATTTTCATTTTGGTACTTTGGTATTTTGAGATTTGGATTACTTAATCTTGAGATTTGGATTACTTTGCTCACCGTGACATGCTGCATGGATGTGAAGTAAGTAGTTTTCAGCATGCTTTTCTATTGTTACCTTGGCTTTGAACCATCAGGATCAATAAAGATGCAAATCAGCCACAAAGTAAATACACGCAGCAGGCAGACGTGCATCTGGCCAGATATAACTGTTGTAGTTTTCTGTGATTTTTGGTTTTATTCTGTGGTCCTTATAGTAATGTTTTTTAATCTTTTTGCAACTTGGGGTGAGAGTAACTTTGGGCAAAGCTGTTTTTTTTTTTTTAAATTTGTTTTATTACTCTATTTTCAGCATATGACTGTCAACATGTTTGTCTTACTTTTTGGATGCAAATTAGCTTCAGCGTTTCTTAATGTAGAATTCATCATAATAAGTGCTCTCCTTTTTGTTGCAGTAGACATCCTTGAAAGTGATTTCTGTATAAATTATATTAAACATACATATTGAAGAGGTGTATATTAGTTTCTAGTTGGATGGCTCACAAAAGTACTAGGGGAATTGTTCAATTAGGTGGCTGCTTTTACTTATGCAGCAAATCTGATCACTGTTACCTAGGTCTATTGATGAAAAAAGCAGGTTCATGTTTCTGTTTGGTGTTGATAAATAGTTACGATATCACCTGATTTTACCAACAATTTTCTGCTGTAAACAAAACTGTATTTACAGCATTTGGTTTCTTTTTGTCCTGATTTGTGGCACAGCACTTTCCTTTTCTATTTGCTTATGCATGGTAGAAATATTGCGTTCCATTGCCAGCCCCACTTTCCAAAATGTCTTACAGGGAGTCGATCTAAAAATTGCAGCACTAAATGTCTTGGCATGTGGAATGTTGAGAAACACTGTAATTGCAATACCACTCTTAATGCTCGTTTGTTGGTGAGTTTGAGAGTAAATTATGTTTTTATATAATCTTGGCGTTTGATAAAATGTTGATCTTTTTGTGTTTGAAAGGTACTACTCTGAATAGGTTGTTCAGGCCACGATGGTGCAGTGGGTTTGCAAGTGACCATGCATGTGTTTGAATGGTTTTATGATCATTAAAGATGTTCTCAATTTCTTAGAAAAAGAAATTATTCACTTCTAGCATTAGAATATAAAATTGACATATATGATGGTGTATCTTGCTTCATTCGCAGATGTAGCATGTTTTCCCATTTCTTGTGGAAAATTATTTCATACTTCAAATTTTTGGTGTGTATCTCTTGCTCTCTGAGTTTTCTAAGCTGTCCTCTATGTGTGCAGGTTGATATAAATATACACCAGTTTTTTAAGGGATACACTGATGGTCGGGCAGATGGAAAACACTGGCCTGAAATGTTAAAACTCAAGGATTGGCCGTCATCAAGTTACTTTGGGGAGAGACTGCCTCGCCATTGTGTAGAATTTATTAGTGCCTTGCCTTTTAAAGAATATACACATCCAAATTCAGGAATTCTTAATTTGGCGGCAAAAGTGCCAACTACAGTGCTGAAGCCAGACATGGGGCCTAAGACTTATATAGCATATGGGTTTGCAGAAGATCTTGGACGGGGAGATTCAGTGACAAAGCTTCACTGTGACATGTCAGATGCGGTATATATAGTATAACTATTTATGCATTGGTGGTTCTGTTTCTAAAAATAATGGGTCTAACAGTTAATCTTCAAAGATCTCTTGATCACGGAAGATGCTCCCTTATGCGAAATTATATGCTTCTACCAAAGCTTTAAGGATTTTCTATCAGCATAAATGCACACCTTTTTTCCCCCTTTTCCCACTATATTTGAGACATAGGGTTCAAACTAAGTGAGCAGTATGGTTGCAAGGCCATGATTTTGTTTTTCCTTGATGTTCTTTGTGGCTGCTTTCGATAATTTAAGGGACATGGTTCTTATGGAAGCCTTATGCATTGATGTGCTGCAAAAGTTGAGGATAGCAAGACCAGGATTTTGTGTGGATGGAAAGATTTGTGATTCCCTATTAAAGCTTTTCAGCGCTAGCCTTTTGAGAAATTGCGATGATCTGATATAACTATTAGGAATAAATATAATTCAGTTTGAAAGTGATAATTCACTTAGTGCTCCTCAGCGGGACATCGTGGAAAGACTGTCCCTTTTTATGTAGATTGATAGGTTCCTGCATGATTTCAGTATTGGTTTGGTGCAATTTAATTTGACCATGAATGGAGATGTTTATCTACATTTTTTTGGGGAACATAGATTAATGGACCCAGCTTTCTTTCACTATTTTCCAGATGATTGTTTGGATGACCCGTCAAGTTTGTAGTTGAATGAAAAATTGTATTACCTGTAGGCTTCCATAGTAATCTTAATCCATTTTATTTCATATTCCTTGATTGAGCTAAAGGTTAAGTGAATGTGTCTTAACTTCTGCGAGATACAGAAATATCTCTTTAGGAGAAAGAAATTGTTCTCTTTGTATTATTGATAGTTTCTACATATGGGTCAAAGAAGTTAAAGACGTGTAATCTAAATTTGTAGTATCCCTTTATGGAAAAAAAGTTCTCTTTGTATTATTGATAATTTCTACATGTTCGTCTAGTGGCATGGTAGCATCCAGGAAATGAGTTCATTATTAGAAACAACCATTGATAATAAAGTTTAAGAAGAAACATACTTGCTCATTTTGGGGCTTATCACTGAGATAATCGAGGTATTTGCTTCTTGTGAGTATCAGTCTAGGTCATTCCCCAAAAAACTAGAAAAAGGGAAATTGTGCAACTCTTGTTCTGAAGTATCTTGATGTAGTCAATGAGTCAAACTTCAATGCCCAGCTTTCAAAAAATTAATCTACGAGAAATTACTGGTTTGCTTTTGGTTTCTTTTTTTTTTTTGGGTGACAGAAAATACTGTTTTCTCCTGTTGTTTGTCTTGATATGATGGTAATCTGTTTTGAATATGGACCTATAGATGCTATTCTTTATAAACTATGTTAACTCTGTTTATATGAACCAGGTGAATATCTTGATGCATACTGCTGAAGTGGCTGTTGAACCAGAGCAGCTTGCTAAAATAAAAGAGCTCAAGCAAAAGCATGATGCCCAAGACCAAAAAGAACTCTTTGGGACATCTGATCCAAGTGATAAAGAGGCTGTGGAGAAGGTGCCTGCGACGATGGAACCATCTGGAAGTGCATTAACTGCTGAAGTTAGTCATGCTTCTCCTAAAATTTCTGATTCTTTGAACAATTTCTGATTGTTTGGATGACCCGTCAAGTTTGTAGTTGAATGAAAAATTGTATTACCTGTAGGCTTCCATAGTAATCTTAATCCATTTTATTTCATATTCCTTGATTGAGCTAAAGGTTAAGTGAATGTGTCTTAACTTCTGCGAGATACAGAAATATCTCTTTAGGAGAAAGAAATTGTTCTCTTTGTATTATTGATAATTTCTACATGTTCGTCTAGTGGCATGGTAGCATCCAGGAAATGAGTTCATTATTAGAAACAACCATTGATAATAAAGTTTAAGAAGAAACATACTTGCTCATTTTGGGGCTTATCACTGAGATAATCGAGGTATTTGCTTCTTGTGAGTATCAGTCTAGGTCATTCCCCAAAAAACTAGAAAAAGGGAAATTGTGCAACTCTTGTTCTGAAGTATCTTGATGTAGTCAATGAGTCAAACTTCAATGCCCAGCTTTCAAAAAATTAATCTACGAGAAATTACTGGTTTGCTTTTGGTTTCTTTTTTTTTTTTGGGTGACAGAAAATACTGTTTTCTCCTGTTGTTTGTCTTGATATGATGGTAATCTGTTTTGAATATGGACCTATAGATGCTATTCTTTATAAACTATGTTAACTCTGTTTATATGAACCAGGTGAATATCTTGATGCATACTGCTGAAGTGGCTGTTGAACCAGAGCAGCTTGCTAAAATAAAAGAGCTCAAGCAAAAGCATGATGCCCAAGACCAAAAAGAACTCTTTGGGACATCTGATCCAAGTGATAAAGAGGCTGTGGAGAAGGTGCCTGCGACGATGGAACCATCTGGAAGTGCATTAACTGCTGAAGTTAGTCATGCTTCTCCTAAAATTTCTGATTCTTTGAACCTTCAAAGTGGGAGTATTGATCATTTGCCAACTAATGCTGGAAAAGGGAGTGGAGGTGGTGCCTCCATTGCAGCTGAAACATTGCAAGATGGTATTTTGACCAAACCAGTCACAGAGTTTGGATTGCCCTCTGAGAATTCTCACATTGGTGGGTTGCTGGGAACTCAAATGAGTGTGCCAGGTAGAAGAAATGATGAAGCTAGTCAGTCTAGTGATGGGCAGAATAGCAAATTGAGAAGTTCATTGACTGAAAATGCCTCTGAATTACATATTAGAAGTACAGACTTGAACAAGGAAAATAGTAGTGTAGGTGAGCTTGATATTGTTCCATCTGGGTATGTGTTTCTAAAAAAGAACGTACATCAGGAAATGTAATCTGTATATGTGTTTGAAATAGGTACCAAAAACAAGCTGAATGGTTTTTTTGAAGTCGAGGGTGGGGCAATCTGGGATATATTCAGGCGGCAGGATGTTCCCAAGCTAGAGGAATATCTTAGAAAGCACCATAGGGAATTCAGGCATATTTACTGCCGTCCCGTGGAAAAGGTAATTTTATCATTAATTTTATTTTTACAAGTTTCTGCGATGAGGTCCCAAGACATGCCAAAAAGAAGTGTTACACAGGTGGTCTTTTAATGGCATTCCCTGTGCATTTAGAGATTGATAAACGTGTGCTGAAAATGTTAGAAAATGTTCACTAGATGACATGAAAGTCAGTGTTGCATCTGGTCTCGATGGGTAAATTAAGCACCTTTAACAGATGTTATTGAATCCTATTTGGATCACTTGAAGATGATTTTCAGTGTTAACGTTTGCTTAGTGTTGCCTTTCATTGAACCTGAACTTGTGCTTGTTTAATTATCTTCTTGGTTCTGTTCTGTCACCATGGGCTTAATGTTTTTGGGGGGGCCATGTTTAGTGGAAGTGCTGCATCTTGATATGGTTACATATGTGTTTGTTATATTTAAGCTCTCTATAGATACATTTTGATCCCATCTCTCTCTGAGAGTTAGCAATTGACTTCTTGTTACTGTCAAACTCTGGACCAACTAATTATCATGATCCAATGTGTTTCATTCTCCAGATTGTTCACCCAATTCATGACCAAGCTTTCTACTTGACTGAGTATCATAAGAAGAAGCTGAAGGAAGAGTTTGGTTGGTTAAATATCTTTTAAAGCTTTAACAAATCTTGTGTATCTTTTCAATTTTTTTCCAAAAGGTTTATGTAATATTCTTATGTGGTCAATATAGGAGTTGAACCCTGGACATTTGTTCAAAAACTCGGTGATGCAGTTTTTGTGCCGGCAGGGTGTCCTCATCAAGTTAGGAATCTTAAGGTATGTAGCACCTTGCATGTTTATATTTTCAACTCTCTTTCAAACCTTTAAGTGTGTAACTATGGTTTTAATGCACCTGGAATCTATCTCTTTTAGCATCTGTACATGGCTATCTTAAGCAGATGGTTGCGCTCAGGTGTGCTTATTTAAATCTTGGGCAGATTGTAGAAGGAATTTTTTGTGCCATCTTTTTCATTTTTACCTGGAATTTATACTGGGAAAACAACTTCAACGACATTCCAATGGTTCTTAAATCCTTTGGGATAACACCTGGTTCTGAGTGCAATACTCAGCTCCTCAAAAACCCTCGTGTTTCATACTAAAGCTTTTTGACACCTACAGGATGTACTAGCAATTATGAGACATGTTTGGTTACTCTTTATGCTGATTTGCTACAATGAAACTGGTGATCATATTCCTGTATCTTAATTTATCGAGATCTTGGTTTTTAGTTCTTGCTTTAACATCATGAAGGGGTGTTGCAAAATTTGTCACACTTTACTTCTTCATTTCTAGACAAATTTCTTACAGAACTTTCATTTTTAGGGGATTTACCAGTATTTTTCTTAAAAAATATCACCTTCATCTAAGACAGAGTGGTAGTAACTAGCATGATTCAGATGTATGATGTTCCTTGTCATTTGCAGAACTTTTGATGGTTCTTTCATAACAGGGGTATAAACGCTGCGGTAGGACTCAGGATTGCTTGTTAGTCTCCCGTACTTGAGTTGTTATAAAATATGCTCATATTACAGATTTCTTCCTCCTTATCCCTAGATATGTTTTCGTGGTCTGCTAAATTTGCTTTCTGTTATGCTATACAGGATACCAATAGTTTTTTTTTTCCATTACTGGTGGATGTTATCGTTTTCTCTTTTTGTTTCTAGCTTTTAATCTTCTCAATTCAACTCTGCAGTCTTGCATTAAGGTTGCTCTCGACTTTGTTTCTCCTGAAAATATTTCTGAGTGTATTCGCTTGTCTGAGGAATTTCGGACTCTTCCACAAAAACATCAGGCCAAGGAGGACAAGTTAGAGGTATAGTAGCTGAAAATATTAGTGCTGAAGTGAACTTTTAAATTTTCGGAAGGAAGCATTACTTTTCTGTTATGACTTTTTTCTAGTTCTTTTACAGCATGAACTATTTGATGAACTATACCTGCCACCATCATGTTGCAGTTTGAAAGTAATTGCCATAGTTTATCATCGTTGATGTTGAGATGATTGCCTTTTCAGCTTTATGTAACATCCTATATGGTTAATTCAGAAATACCTTTGAACTAAATCATTCTTTGCCTGCAATAGGTTAAAAAGATGGCTCTCCACGCACTTGACAATGCTATAAGCCTTTTTGAGCAGACAAAGAGCAGATATTTAGAGGTTGCTATTCCTTTACCATTTTCTAAGGAACTACCTCTCGTTCCATTATCTTATTAGTTATGTTGGAATATTTTGTACATGAAATAGTAGAAGATAAATAGCTTTGATTTATGCTTGCATGGTTTGGTTGGGATCATGGAGATAGAAATCTGACTGTAATAATTGCTCACAGGTCATGGTTGTTTTATTGCATGACAATGGCATTTTTTCCTGATTCTAATGCAGAAATTGCTTGTTTTAGTTTTCATGTAATGAAGCAGTGCATTTGATACAGTTGCAATGTGCTTGGTTGCCTATAGAATCGTTCATAATTTGGCTTCATAGTGACCATTACATTGGCTGAAGGAAATCAATATTAAAATAGCATGGGATTGAAGGAATTTCTCTTGATTTTTATTTTCGCAATTGCTATCGTTTTAACTTGCTGCTATGTTACGGGCGCTCTACATGTTTCACATTCGAGTACAATGTGCTGTTTGACCATTTCTTTTAGTCGTAAAAACATGGTTCTGGATATTAAGATGCTTTTTTTTTTTCTATGCATAACCCTATCTGTTAGGTCCAAGCAATGCCACATGCTAATGCGTCTTCTCCCTGATTAAATTACTTCTGTTACCTTGTTTGGCAATTTTGGTGATGTTAGAATGTGCAGGTTGTTGTGCACAGTGTGGTACAACATGCTGATTTTTACCATTTTGGATACGCTTCCTGGAGTTTTTATGTTGGGTGTTGTTCATTTTACTTGGTAGTGTGTGTAGCAAAGCCTGGCTTTTTTTGTTGGTAACTTCACAGAGTTTGTGTGTGTTGGTAATACATCCTGTTGGATTTCTCTGGTTTGTTAGGTATATTAGTTAAAGTCCATGCTTTGAGCTATGCTGCTAGTCTGTACAGGAATTGTTAATTTCTGCTGAATTGGTTTGTTATATACTATGGCAGTTTGACATGGAATTGACATTTTTCAGGTTATCAAACCAGAAGTTACATAACACTAAATCTATATTTGGCTGCAACATCCATGCGACATCCAAGCTTATCAATCATTGAAAGATGTATATGATTCCGGACTTTTGTTCTTCGGATAATCTGCTACGGCCTCAAAATCCAGAGTCGTTCAGGTGACCTGGTCCGACGACTTGTGTCAAGCCACTGCTCAGCCTGTGACTTATCATGTATCTAGAGATAGAGAAACTTGCCGTGCACCTAAGAGCTGTAAAGGTTTCCATGACTAGACATGTACCTAACAGTTTTGCGTATATAGAGTAAAGCCCGACTCTTCTGGACTCAACTTCGTCCTGAAAGTTGTTTGTTTTACTGGGTTTATCCAGGTGTCCGTGAAAGGGTATATGCACCCATGGTACGCGGGGTATACTTATGAATGGAAAAAAGGGAAAAATGAAAGGAGAGGGGGGAAGCCGAGCTGGCTGTCTTCGCATTTTTTGCAGTTGAAGATTTCTACGTGTTTGGGATAATATCAGTATCAGAAACCTTCCTTGAGGTTTCTTCTAATATCACTTAGCATCTTGAGGTTTTAAAAATATTACTTGCATCCCTTGTGAATTGTGAAAAGATTATATTAATCCTCACTTGGTATATAATTCACATATCAAATAAATGAAGTTTAAAAAATAAATTTAAAGGTACATTTTTCTCTTTCTTCTTTTTCCATCATTCTGTCTTACTTATTTTTTGTTTGGATGAATATGTCATTTTTTATTTGTAAATTATAGTAAATTAAATATTATTTCTTTTATTTTTTGTGGTTATGATAGAGTAGGATATGATTTTTTTTTGAATTGATTTTTATAATGATCAATGCAATTTAAAATCTTGGGCACTGGTTAAAAAGAAGTTGGAAAAAAAAATAAAAATCATAAGAAATTAGTTTTGAATATATAAAGTTAAATGAATTAATTTTTCATATACTAACAGTGTAATGATTTTTTTTACACTAATAGTTTTGGATGTATGCGATATGTGCATGATTTGAATTATATTATGTAGCATGATTTAAACCTTTTAATATAAAAAAAAATTATGCATTGACAGTGTATAGAAAAGTTATCCAAGTTAAATTGGTGCTAGTATATTTCTTCGCAAATACATTTTTTATTTTTCAAATTTATATTTTTATGGACTATAGCATATTGTGACGTAGTAGTATTACTAGAGATTGTTTTTTTAGTGAAGATTTTCTTGGAGTAAACAAAGTGATTTAGGAGTATTTTTATTTAGCAAGCAAAAAGGTAGTTTAGGATTTTTGAAAATTTTGTTGCATAAATAACAAGAGTAAGGAAGATAAGTGATATTTTTAAAATTTTAGGGGTACTAGGTGATATTAAGAAAAACCTCATGAGAGTTTCTTGATATTATCCCTTTTCTTTATACTTAGCAACCACTGCAACATTTATTCCCTAGTTATGGGGGCCTAAAATTACTTTATGTAACTAAGGGCTTGTTTGGAAGTGAAGTTTTTGGCCAAGTTTTTTAGCTACTAGTTTTTTAATAACTTTTGCTACAGGGACCCCAAAAAACTTATCAAAGTTTTTTACCTACACACTTTAAAATAATACACAAAAAACTTTCCCTTCAACTTTTCTTCTTCTTTTTCCTCCCCCACCCAACCGGCCACCACCTCCACCACCGCTTCCGGCGCCGGTAACTATTCCGCCCAACTTTTGCCGGCCTTTCTTTTTTTTTTTTTTTCTCTCCCTCCCTTTCTCCTTTGACCGATATGTTAGTTTCCAAAATCTCTTTTTTCTTTTTTTTTTTCTTTCTCCCTCTCCCCTCCCCTCTTTCCCTCTACCTTTCCCCTCCCGCAGCTTGGGGAGAAGAAAAATTGCAAAAACAATAAAAGATAAAAAAGGTTCTGCCGACGCTAACTGGCACCAGCAGTAACGACGAGGAGGGTTCTCGAGAATTTGCAGTCAAGAAGCCAAGAGCCCTCCTGTCTTTAGACTTGAATCTTCCGGCCGCCCCAGACCAACCTGAATCTTCCGGCCACCCTCCTGTTCGATTACGGGCAGAGGGAGAGGGAGGGGGAGCTTTTGCAGGGGTGGGGGAGGGGGGTTGCGGGCAGAGGAGAGCGACGGGGTGGGGGAGCTTTTGCAGGGGCGGCGGATTTAACTTTTGCAGGGTGGCGGGGGGGGGGAGGAGTTTTGGGAAAAGGGATAGGGGAGGGGGAAGGGCAGGGGGTGGCCAGGGAAAAGGGCAGGGGGTGGCGGGGGGAGGGGGTCGCGGTGGCAGAGGGGAGGTGGCGGGAGAAGAAGGGGAAATGGAGGAGAGGGGTGGCGGGCGTGAGTGCTGCTGGGAGGTAACGGGGAGGAAAGAAAGAAAGAAGAAGAAGAAAAAGAAAGAAGAAGAAGAAGAGAGGAAAGAAAAGAAAAAGGAAAGAAAGAAAAGAAAAAGAAAGAGAAAGAGAAAAAGAAAGAAAAAAAAAAAGAAAAGGAAAAAAAACTTTTTTACTCTACAAAAATTTCTACAAAATTTTGCACCTTACAAAAAAAATTTTCATCTTATAAAAACTTATACAAAATTTTTTCAAAAACTTCTACAGTGCACTACAGTAAAGTTTTAGATAAACTCCCAAAAAACTCAGGTTCCAAACAGGCCCTAAGTTTCAACAAAAGCGTCTCCTTACATCACTCATATGTTATTTCAAATCCTCATTCAACAGTCAATCAATTTGATTTCCCACAAATTGACATGAAGTCCAAGAATCATTCAAAGAAGAGTAAAAATTTGGAAACTCTGTAGTAATAAAAAGTTTACTGAAAAGTTGGATTAACTATAATTTACTTCGATAAGGCATGCATTGATATTTACCTTATTCTCTTAACTTTTATTTTGTGTCACATAACTCCGAGGGAGACCGAAAATACCCTTTGTTATTGTGAATTTTATTTTTAAATTGGTTTCTTCCTTTTTCCAATGAATTTTAACAAGTGATTCAATTTTGACTATTCTAATTGATGGTGATCAAGTTTCAGATTAGAGAGCAGATATATTAGGGAATACACTAGGGATTGATTATTTTTAAAACATTATAAATAAAATATCAGAAAACTAATTATCAGGAAAATTCAAAGGTGGACCAAAAAAAAAGGGGGGGGGGTGGGGAAGTCACCAACAGAAAACTCACGGCTTAAGATTTTTCCTATTCAAACTTCTGGATTAGGGGCTCAAGACTTGGAAGCGTAGGTTGATGCAAAACTATGACAACTGTGTGTCAAATAATGCTGAATGAGATGAATATGTATTCGATTTTAATCCGGGATATAGTTGGTAAAAGCAAACATGCTCTTAAATTTTCTTGAGCTCTTTAGGGTCTTTCACATTTTTCTCCACACAAAAATTGGGCAATGGAAGACCTTCACCTTTCCAAGTGTATGGTCCAAAAAAAATGAGGGTTTATAACGTTTGTCATTCTTGAGGTCCAACTTGAATATCAAGAATCCTTAATTTCATGCATCTGAGTCATCTACAAGACAAATAAACTACTCCAGATCCTTCTCGAACGAAAGTCGACTAGGATGAGAAACATCCACGCTACATATACTGCCAAGCCAAAAGCTGCTAGAAGCATCTTGCTCTTCTCCTATTTAAACTGCAAACAATCATTCCCTCCAAAACTGTCCAACTGCCATCAACTGCAGAAAACACAGGATATCCTCATACAGCTACTAAGTGTTTTGAATCCACTCTACCTTTAAGTTACTGAAAAAATTTTCAGTTAATAAAATGTCTCCTGCTCTATCTTTATCTATCTCTCACCTTCCCATCTGCAAATGCCAAGATGATCCAAAAGACAGTTCCATGATCAGCAAAAGCTCCAGCAGAGAGAACACATGTCACAGAACTCCAGTAGCGAATATTGATGTCAAATTTAGTCGGCGAAACCTGTTACAAAGCACTGGTGTAAGCCTAGTTGGAGGGACTCTGGCTCAGCCTGCAAGGGCTGGACCAGAGCCAGAAAGTCCAATAGAAGCTGGTTCGAGTAGAATGTCATATTCAAGATTGTTAGAGTACTTAGATCAAGGTAATGTTAAGAAGGTGGATTTGTTCGAGAATGGGACTGTGGCAATTGTTGAGATATACAATCCTGCACTGGAGAAAATCCAGAGAGTTAAAGTTCAGCTGCCCGGATTGCCACAAGAATTGTTGACAAAGCTCAAAGAGAAGGATGTGGATTTTGCATCTCATCCAATGGAGGTGAATATGGCCTCTGCCGTTCTTGACTTGCTGGGAAATTTGGCTTTTCCCTTGATACTGCTTGGCGCTCTCCTCTTGAGAAGTTCTTCAAATACACCCGGAGCTGGAGGTCCAAACCTACCTTTTGGATTAGGAAGGTAAGTTGAACATTCTGATTTACAATGCAAGTATTGGTCATTAGTAAGCAATAAAAATGTTGAAGTTAGTACTGAAAACTATTGGAATATTCTTACAGGAGCAAAGCCAAATTTCAAATGGAACCAAATACTGGAGTGACATTTGATGATGTAGCTGGAGTTGATGAAGCAAAGCAAGATTTTCAGGAAGTTGTTGAGTTCTTAAGAACCCCAGATAAATTTGCTGCAGTAGGAGCAAAAATTCCCAAGGGCGTACTCTTAATAGGACCTCCAGGAACAGGGAAGACATTGTTGGCTAAAGCCATAGCTGGAGAAGCGGGCGTTCCTTTCTTTTCCCTTTCAGGTTCAGAGTTTATTGAGATGTTTGTTGGAGTGGGAGCTTCTAGAGTGAGGGACTTATTCAACAAAGCTCAACAGAATTCACCATGTTTGGTCTTCATTGATGAGATTGATGCTGTTGGGAGGCAGAGAGGAACTGGTATTGGTGGAGGAAATGACGAAAGGGAGCAAACACTTAACCAGCTGCTCACAGAAATGGATGGTTTTACGGGAAATACTGGAGTCATTGTCCTTGCTGCCACTAACAGACCCGATGTTCTAGATGAAGCTTTGCTTAGGCCAGGAAGGTTTGACAGACAGGTACTAATCATGCTAATGTGACTTTGAGAAGCAGAAACATACTACTAATATGGTAATCATAACGGAGTTACCAAATCTTAATTTGTTTTAACAGGTTAGTGTTGGACTCCCAGATGTAAGAGGGAGAGAAGAAATATTGAAGGTTCACAGCAACAAGAAGAAACTCGACAAGGATGTCTCTCTCAGTGTCATTTCTATGAGGACTCCAGGATTCAGTGGTGCAGATCTTGCAAACCTCATGAATGAAGCTGCTATTCTTGCTGGTCGGAGAGGCAAAGATAAGATAACCTTGAAAGAGATTGATGATTCAATTGATCGAATTGTAGCTGGAATGGAGGGAACCCAGATGACGGATGGAAAGAGCAAGATTTTAGTGGCTTATCACGAAGTTGGGCATGCAGTCTGCGCGTGAGTTCATCACTCAGTGATTCTCATTTCTGTTGTTATGTACTCATCTTACTCTTGCGGAATAGTCTAAAAATGAAAAAATGGACCGAAGCTTCTTCCTTTAATAGTCATGTTAAGCAAGATCCTCCATGCGTCTAGCCTGTTTAACATGAACGATACATTATGAGCTTATCGTTTTCCTTGGCTGAATACAGGACCTTGACACCGGGTCATGATCCAGTAGAGAAGGTGACAATGATCCCTAGGGGTCAAGCCCGTGGTCTGACGTGGTTCATACCCGGTGAGGATCCAACACTGATCTCAAAGCAGCAGCTTTTCGCCAGAATTGTTGGAGGGCTTGGAGGTAGGGCCGCAGAAGAAATAATATTCGGCGAACCAGAAATAACAACTGGTGCTGCAGGAGACTTGCAGCAGATTACCCAAGTAGCAAGACAGGTATGTTTCAAGAACTTAATTCTTTGGAAATCAGGATAACTATATTCAAGTTTTACAAATTCAACTTACTCTGATGGTATTCTTTTTTTCCAATAACAGATGGTGACAACTTATGGAATGTCTGAGATTGGGCCGTGGTCTTTGACTGATCCGGCAGGACAGAGCAGTGATGTGGTGCTGAGAATGCTGGCAAGAAACAACCTGTCTGAAAAGCTTGCCGAAGATATTGATAAATCGGTGCGTCAGATTATTGAAAGAGCATATGAAATTGCAAAGAATCACATAAGAAATAGCAGGGAGGCAATGGACAGTATAGTAGAAGTGTTGCAAGAAAAGGAAACCCTGACAGGTGATGAGTTCAGGGCTCTGCTCTCAGAGTTTACCGACATTCCTCCTGATCATCTATCTAGAAAACCAATACGCGAGCTGATTGAGGCCTAAGTACTAACCAGCCTTGTAAATTTACTTGAATAACACATTGTATCTTCAACACATTGTACATGCATACTGAATGAAATGCAATTAGAAAGTATGAACAAAGAGCATATAAAGCATCAGCAATGTCCAAAAAAGAACATAACTTTGTGCAGGTAGCAATAAACAATTGAAGCTCCATATGATACGGACCACGAGTTTAAATCCAATTTTATCATTTTATGACAGCTCCAAAATTACCCATTCGGTCCAAAGAATGTCATCATAAACCCATCACCAATTTCTTTTCACTTCTTTTTTTTTTTTATTTACTAAACAAAATTATATATATATATATATATGAAAAAAAAACAGCAACAACAAAGTAAAGCCGTCAAGGAGGGGAGGGTGGAGATTTAGGCTGGGCTAACGAAAGATAACTAGGTGCATTTGCCTTAGCCATTCCATGCGGGTGGAAGTTGGCTGTTTGATTAAGTGTATCATAAACCAAACGATAATATTTCTTTGGCAGAATAAAAAAAATAGTGAAAGGATGCCAAATATAATCTTCAGCCGACGAGAAGAATTCTTTTGAGGATTTCTAAGAACCCCGAAGCTAAAAAGTTTCAACATGCAATCCATAGAAAAGAAAAAGAGAGAGAGAGAGCCTACATTTCTAGATGTCCAATCTGCAATTTCAGTCTATCAATCTAGCATGCATGCATTGAAACTGTCAGGCTACAAGCAGTCGTCTTCAAACAAGGTACAGAATAAAACGACACTTTAAACTAGCATCTTTGATCCCAAATACTATGTCTATATACATCACTTTACACTTTCGAATTGAGATGCTGAAAAACACGGACTAGGAAAACGTGAGAATACAAGGACACAGAAATCATAAAGCGTGCAAGTGACTCCAGCTTTTCAAGTTACAAGCTTCAAGAACCTAAGAAGGTATCGACCTTAGAATTGACTTTCCTCGACAGAAATTTCATGCAAATTGGAGGATTGACACCTGCCAAAGCTAGTATTGCACTAGGCAATGTCCATATGCCATCTCCACAAATCAATCCAGAGGCTACGGCAGGTCCAAATGCATCAGCCTTGGCCTTGTTCAACTTCTCCCAAACGAATAGTATCAAGCTACCAACACACATATCAATGGCAAAGTATGATCCAAGATAGAATGGTATTGCCATTGCCATTGGAAGAGGAATAAACCGTGCCCACTTCTTCCCCAACAAGTCTCGGATGCCATTGATGACAACTGCTCCAGCAAAGAATACATAGCAAAGTGTGAGGCAGTGCTTTGGCAAAGCGCCAAATCCTTCAACTCCCAAGATCGCCATGTTACGGTAAACTAGAGCATAAGGTGCTGGATATTCTGAACCTTGTTCTCCCAAATCATGGAAGGCCTTGTAGAAGAGCCAGAATACACTAGGAGAAATAATACAACCCATAGCTGTTCCAATGATCTGGCTGACAAACATAGATCTTGGGGAGGCAAGGGTCAAATAACCTGTCTTGAAGTCCTGTGTGAGGTCCGAAGCTGTGGAAACAATATTCATCATGACCCCACATGCAGCTAATCCAGCAAGAACACCACCATGGGCGGCACCAGCCCATGCCCCAACTATGAAGATTGCCAGCTTTCCATATGTGGATGCTAGTGACCAGTCGGTAAGCCCGCAGCCATAGGCATTACAAAAGGCTAGGATTGGAGCAAAAATATAAATGACGAGAATGTAATACCACTTGAGCTGGGGGAAGATGTGCGGGAGAACTATAATGGAAATTATGGAAATGGTGATGTAACCAGTGATAGCAACCCACAATGGAATTTGATCCTTGAGGAATAGTTGCCTTCGGCGTTCATCATCATAAGACAATGCTGAGTTGACAGGTGAGTTATTAACACCAACTGGGAGAACAGCACCAGCATCTTTCTTGTAGATTTGGTGATACATGGCAATTAAAGTGCGTCCAAGAACTTTCACAAAGTTGTAAAGCCCATCACCAAGTATCATAGCTATGGCAATGAAAACCTATAAAGAAGAAGAATGAACAGAAGGTCACCATCTGTACTTTGGTTGCTTACTTCTGGCATAGGTAAGAAAATTACCCGATAACCTTGTATTCCATGGAGGCTGCTAGAATTTTCAGTTGCACTATACCAGTCACCCTTCCTATTCTCTATGAGAGGCCACATGATGCCCCAAGAAAGGATTGCTCCAACTAGCACAGAGACGTTGATTAAATAAGGACATATCATCCCAACACCAACATAGGTTGCAGAGAAATCGAAGTAAAACCTGATTCCGTAGAAAACAAATGGTTAAACGAGTTAATAAGCTACATATTGGTATCCAAGAATGTCTGACACAAGAAAATTAAACCTGCACAACAAAAAACAGGTTTTGGTCCCAAGGGTGTTATGCATTTTTATGCGCTAACAGCTTAATCTATGCAAGATGTTTTCTATATCATCATTTCTAAAGTACCATGAGTCTTGGTACCTTTGAGCGTAAGCATTATTGTGGTCTTACATTTTGATATCCCAATTATGCCCTTGTTAATTGATGATTAAAGTTGCACAATATGCTCTTATACATTTATGATGATTAAAATTCGTTTAGAAAATAATGGTTGACGACAAGACAAACTGTTAATTGAGCAAACAAACACCAAAGAAATTTCATTCTGATCCCTTCAGCCAGAACTAGATCAAGGACTTGCCTATTTTCATAAGCTTTGAGGCCAAAAGTTGGGAACTGCACAAATCCACAGCCGTCTCCTGCGGTGAAGAACCACTGGAAGAAACCCCACAAGAAGCTGAAGGAAAAGAATTTTCCAAGAGTTCTCACTTGCTTCCTGCATTAAAATTTTATGAGCAAGAGAGTATGAGAAGCAAATTAGATCATGAATGTCAATAAGACATGTAATAGAAGATTATATGGTCCTCGTCTTACTTTGCTAGCTTGGCTCCTTGGGGAGTGTGGAAACTGTTGATAAGATAAGCAGTTGCAGTACCGCTGGGATATGTCAGTTTGAAGTCTATGATCATTATCTGATGCAGTTAACAAACAAAGAAATGGTTATGAGCAGATCACGTTTTGATGCCCAAAATACTGAGACAACGCAGAGGCTAATTCAGGACGGAATATGAGGATCGACAAAGAAAACGCATGGACAGTGGAACCCTATTCAAGGATGCAAAAGAAATAGCAGGACAAAAGATTTAAATACAAGGATGCCAGGTACATGACAAGTGAATTTGGTGATCATCCAGAAACAGAGGTAAAGAGCAAGTCCAGAGATACCTTTCTCAGGGGCACCACAGAGAATAGCCCAAGAAAGCTAACAAGAAAAAGAAATCCAATGATCCACCCAAGAGATGGGATCTTGATGTTCTGTGCAAAGTTATCTTCACCAGACTGTTTAGCAACAACTTCACTCATTCCAAAAATGTAGCTGCCAAAACCTCCTGCATATTGGAGTCCAGGGAATGGAGAATCAGTATTGGTAGTTCAAGGATGGAGCATTTGATAGCTATAGTGTTAATGGAATATACAACTTCACTCAAGGACTCACAGAACAGTGAATTAGTGCATATTAGTAATTTCCAGTTGCATAGCCTTTTCTTCTTCTTATTTTTCTGTGTGAAATTTTGCTGATAGAAGACATAGTAACAAGCATCCTGGTTAGCTAACGAGTAACGCTACTACAAGGTCCAAAGACACAAAGTTACCATTCAGCGCTGTACTATTGCCAAGATGACAACCAACAGAACCAGCTAGCATCAACGTATTTAACAGCTTAGTTTAGGCACTATTTCAAACTGGGATTTCGTCAGAGTTTGGAAAAAGAATTGTTAGTATAAAAAATTACTTAAATAAGAGGCCTTTTAAAACATAAAAAAAGATATAATAATAACAGGCCTTTTTGTTTTACTTCTACATCAGGTGTGTGTCTTAACTTGTCATCATGGTTATTTCTGCCTTGGAATTCTGCATTAGGTAATCAAACAGTATATGGCCCTCATTCGGAACAAACTGCTATCAAAGAAACCCACTGAAGCAGACAGAAGCAACAGTTCATACACTAAAAGACTGATGTCCTGTTTTTACACTCTGTTCATCAAGTCTGAGTCTTCATAATATTAGCAAGTGAACATAGTATGTTTTTACACGCCATGGCCTGTATAGCCAAATTTGTACACTTCATTCACCAAGTCCGAGTCTTCATAACATTAGCAACTGAAGATATTAAATTAAAAGTGAAAAGAAGTAAAAAAAACCAGCAATCCTAATAAAAATGTTTGAAATAATATACATCCTCCAATGGTGAGCGTCACCCACAAAATCCAAAAGTTTTTTTTTTTTTTTTCAACTAGTAGCCTTCAGATTGCTAAATGGTATAGAGAAACAGGTCCTGGCGCGTCATGCTGGGTTAAAAGATGTTTCATACAAAATAAATTAAGTGGATACTGGTTTTCATTTAAGGTTGACGTGCGACGATATCCCACTGCGTCCTAGTCAGGAATTTCCAGTCAAAATAGGTTACCAATAACTATTTCTGGTTGCTTGTGATGCACAGCTACTTTTCCACAATCTCTTGCTTCAGTTAAATTTTAGAGTTCCAAATAGAAAGAGAAGTGATTTGACTGCATCAGTTCAAAATTTTGATATATCTATCACCTGCTGACCAAGGTTTAGTTACTAAAACAACACAACTAAAATAAAAATAAGCCAAAGTCCAAAAACTTTTATTGATTTTCCAGTCTGCAACATGAACTAGCCGTTTTGAGATGCCAGGGATAGATAGATTAGGGAATCAAGGCGTTGACTTGATCACAGATGGGGTGTCAGATTGCAATTATTATTACTGTTTAGAAGATTCATCTCTTTAATAATTTTATTTTTATGCACCCATCAACATCTTGACACACTAAGTACTGACTTACTATTCAATTGTTCCATCATCTGCATCATATACAATCGCACCACAAGTCACAGAAAATGTTTTCCTAATCATGGCTTCTTTGACACCACCATGCAAAGCAAATTAAGCTCTATCTTAGAGTAATCAATAACCACGGGATATGACAAGGGAATTAAATAAAACAATCTAATCCAAACTTTCCAGTGAAAGCAAACCATTTCGTAGGTTATAGAAAGATTACGCTATTGACCAAACACTTCAAATCTAATCCAAACTTTTGACGGCATCACCTGTGATGAGAGCTGATACTAAACACACAAGCAACACGACACACACACAGCTGGTGTAGCTCAAATTACATAAAATCAAGGAGCTTCTTTGCAAAGAAAGATTCACGTTAAAGGATAGAAATTGATTCATTTTCAAAACTGACAGCCCAAAAGATGTTTATATTACTACTGCTACTTAATGATATTCCGTGTAAAAGTTACATGGATCCATCAAATTTTTGTAGAACCGGATACCAGATAGAATCTTGACCGCCGTAAGACTTTGGGAATTTGCCAGAACTGATACTCGTGAAGAAAGGCAAAGTTTTTGTTCTTTTTTTACCCCAAGTTGGATGAAGGAAAAGGCAGCAAGCAAGAACTCTCAACCAAGATTCCAACCGGAAAGTTCAGCATTAAAGACATGATTGCATAAAAGTTTCCAACCGTATGCATAGCATTTTCCCATTATTATGCTATTAGGAAGCGGTGATTTTGACACTAAACTAAAAGAAAAGAACAGATTGAAATATATCTCTATGCCGCTAAATGAAATGAATTATTAGTGAAAGCTCCAACAGGGTCCCCCAAACTCTCTACATTCACACGTTCGGGACCCTCAAAGTGCCGATTTTCATTGGACTCCATTAGCATAAGCAAATAATCCATGGTTTCATCATACATCCCAATTTCCATCAATCAATCTCGATTTCCCCACCCATCATTACTCTTCAGGCCACGCCGGAACATGTGACTAACACCTAAAAGGCGAAACTCTGCACCAGGGCCACCACCGACTCGCCGCCAGAGATGAAAATATCATTTTATTCTCCTAGTCCTACTAATGATACATGAAAATTAACCTTGGACCCTTAAATGTTACCTTTAATTCTGGTTGATATCTAATTTCAGACACGTAAAAATTAGTCTTAGACCCTCAAACAATAACTTTATGCTACTTGATCCCAGGAAAAAAAAATAAAAATGGAAGAAATACAAGTAGTAATATCTCCATAGCAAAACATGCATGTTGATTTTGGAAGTCTGAGATATTTACCGCTAAAAGCGATGCCAGAGGTTGCAACAACGCAGGTTTGGATGACAGTATTTTCTTGCCTAGTAAAAGGCTGCTTCAAAAGCCCAGATTTTTCAAGAAACTTTGTCCAGGTCTTGACGAAAAAGAACCCCAGTAGCCCAGCTGAGACATTGAGAGAAGGGATAATCCCAGTTGTGAGATTCAGCTTCATGACAATGAAAGTGAACAAGATTCCCAGCACAAAGGCTGTAACAAAGGCCCTTATCGTCAGCTGGCTTTGCCATGATGGCACCTCTTTGGACTCAAAGATCTTCTCTGTTGATTCAATGCCATTCTCCTCCACTCTATCATCTGATTTCTTGTTACCAGTGGCATGGTTGTAGGCATCATCTTCAGACTGCAAAGGCGCACCATTTTCAATACCATTTGGATCACGCCTTGGAACGCTAGTGGAGCGATCCATTTTGGACTATGCAAAGAACAGCGGATGGGATGCAATTGCTAGCTGAGACAATGCATACATATATATTATATATGGATAAGGTATTTGGGGGATTTTGACCAAAAGGGGTGGGATAAAGTAATAGAGTATTATTTCTTTTTTTAATAGTATTTGTTCGATGGGTTGTCTTTATCAGTGTGTGAAAGTTGGCCTTGAAGTGATAAACACAAACTGTAAATGAGCTTTGGGAGGGAGAATAGAAATGAATCCGGTATTCTGCAAGCCAATAAGAGTTTGGTTGGTTTGGAGATCAAAATGATATGGAATTGTTTATATTGGATAAACATATATGGGAAATAGGGATGCTGAAAAATGGTTATGGCTGGCTGGTCCTAGCGGGAACTTCTCAGACCAAAATATTATTGAATCTTGAATCTCTTATTATTATATGAATATCGGATGAATCTTCTGTGTGTTGAAAGTCTAAGCAAGACAGACAGGCAACAAGTTGCTTCAAAACTCTCGGCGCAACCATTTTTTTGATCAGAATGATCAAATTAATAACGACAATCAAATCATAAAATATATCTGATTATTCAATAAATAAATTCATTTCCGTAGTTGAATAAATCTAGCATTAGTAGGAAAATTCTTGGCAGAAAAAGTTGGCTCCACCGATTAATACACATTAATACTATGATGTGAACTAGTAGTATCAATATTGTAGTCAAGATATGGACACCAGTTGAGATTAAGGCGAGAGGGAATTCATATGATCTAAAAAAGTCAGGGATAATTTCAGAAACCTTCCTTGAAATTTTTTACAGTCTCACTCCCCTCCTTTGAAGTTTCTAAAATATTAAAGACCTCTCTTAGAAGTAAGTAGTTAGTATCAAATTCTACCCAATTCAAAAAGATAAACAATAAAAAAGCAGGATTTGGAGAGAGAAAATAACCTGATATCACAAATGCCCTCAAACCTTGCATTAGTGAGATAATTTCATTCGAACAATACCTAGGCAATTAAATAATAATGAAATTTTAGGGGAGGTTTCGGAAACAAAAAATCAGCTAAGTATAATCTGTTATACACAAACAACAACTATATCAGCATAAGCTGCCAAAGAATAACAATTTTTCAGTACAAAATTTTTAAAGACTAACTTGAAAATATGGGTTAAAGAGCTATTAAATGATGTACAATAAAGGCGAGAATCTTCACGTATGGGTTAAAAATCTCTTCTTCTCTTGCTCTAATTGAAGGGACTTCTTGCTCTTGCAGTTTTCTATGCCATACATCAGTCATAGTAGGGTGCCTGAATTTAGTGCCCTATTTCTCATGGCATTTTAGATATTATTTGCACTTTTATATTATCGTTAATTCAATTAACCATATTTATAACTAATTTAAATAAATTTGTCCAAATAATTTGAAATATATGATAAGTTGTGTGAGTATTTAAGTCATTTTGTCTATGATGATGTAAAGAGTGGGACTCAATATTCTATTAGGAGGGGTTCCTAATATTTTGAAAACTTCAGGGGAAGGGAGTGGGACTGTCTGAAACCTTAAGGGAGGTTTTAGAAATTATCCCTAAAAAGTCATTTCGCATTTGTGACTTAAAGGTGCTGTCACATTCTTTTTGTCAATAAAAGATGCTGTCACATGTAAAGGTAATTTCTTTTGTTTTCTCCTCCAAGATTGCGGCCAAAATCTTGACATGCTGGCACAGAGGCTGTGGTATGAGTTTTGACAAGTTTCTTTTAACTTTCGTTTCTTTTCAAGCTCTAGTAAGTAGACTATGTGCTATAATGACGTTCTCAAATTTAAGTGGAAATTAAACTAAGTGTGAGTTTCTTATTTATATTCTATTCACGTCTTCAAGAGCAAAATACCAAAAATGAAGGCATAAAAAAAGCTGCGGAAAAGGCATTTTTTTTTTATTTGGGCCTTTCTAAGACGTGATTCAAGTGTTAAAGTTCTGAAAAAGTATATAAATATAAGAGTTGATAATAATTATTAATACATGCATTTATTTGATAAATTAAATTTGATTTAAGTGTATAAACCATTATCTATTAAATATCCGTTAAAAAAAACTTTTTTATTTAACATCCTACACTTTATAGCTGAAATTAGCTATATGACACAAATATAAGTAGGCAGTAGGCTGTATTTGACTATTTATCGATCACTTATCAAAGGTTTTTCAACATATTTTAATCTCAAATTCGTGGGATTCTAATCGAAATTATGAGAAAACGACAATTTTTTGAAATAAAAAATGAACCACTAGCGCGAGCCTTGGCAAGCACTTGTAACTTGGATTGCAAGTGTGAACAGTCATTATTGGCTCGCCACTAAATAAAGCTAATTTGGGAGCAGAAGTTGAAAAGACCTCTTTGTTTCTAAATTGACGACGTAATATGGTGGAGGCGCTCATGATGCGATTCCCAAAGTTGGAAGAGAGTGATTACGTGCAGTAGATGAACGCTGACTCTGCGTTTGGGGGTGGCTCCTATCATTTCGGAGCGGACCGTTTACCCTTCGCCTCTCATCTCTTCAATTCTCCCAAGTCGCAACCCCAAAAACCACAAATTTGTTCGTCTAAGAAAAGATCAAAACACTAGTGTTAACTACTAAGTTGAGTGATTGCCCGGTACTAATCTTCAGTCAATAGGAGTGTTTGGATAGCAAATTATCCCAAATAATAATATTTTGTTTGTATCGTAAACACATTTCTTAATTCACCTTTTTATATTTCCAATCACCTTTTTATCTCACATACATCACTTCACAAAAAGTGGTACAGTAATTATTCCAAATAATATTTCAAATAATACTCTATCCTACAGCAATTGTTATGCATTCCTGTTCAAAAGCTTAATGGTAATGTAACAATTTTGGAGCTTCACTGTTATGTCTTTGTTAATTTTTTGACCTGTTATATATGTTAGTTAGTTAAATTTTATACCTATGTCATGTATTATGTACTTTTTAACCGTTAGTTTGGATTTATTTTAATAAAATTATGCTTTTTTATAAAGAAAATGTTAATGGTAATAGTACAATACAAAATCTACTATGTATGCATGTCCAAATAATGGGCATGCACAAATGGTTGGGGTTGGGGTTGCAACCATGTATGAAATTGAAGATTTGGAACTTGAAAGTGTATTTGTTGCACACAATTGCTACTATTAGTGCAAATCTCCTCCGTGTTCAAACTCAAATTCACACAATGGGCCATGCATCTAGATCTAGTAAGGTATATGATAATGATGTAGAAAAAATTAATCGATGAAATAACCCCTTATTTTTAATTCAGTACCATCTATTTATTACACTAAGAAAATCGAATACAATGAGTGCAATATATATATATATATATATATATCTTTTTTTTTGGGAGGTGAACGAGATTACAGCTGTGTTTTTTTTTTTGGGTTTAATCCTATAACATTAAAATTACATATGTGGGCTATTTCTTTACAAAATTGTGCTCAATTTCATCTGTGGCAGCTATGTTTTTTTTTTTTTTTTTGGTTTAATCCTATAACATTAAAAATTACCCTACAAATAGTATACAACAGCTCATGTCGTATTTAGATCGATTTTTTCTTTTTCTTCTTTTTTAAGTCAACATGTGATTTCAGATTTTCCATTGAATTTAATGAACCGAGTGTGAAATGCACTTCATTTTTTCTCCAAAATTTAATTCCTATTTTCCAAGTCAACGATGATGTCGGTCGTTCTACGGTGGCTTACATTTACTCAATCCACAGAATTAAGGTCCCTATTTTGTTCATTTTGGTATAACGATATGTAATCTTCTTTTGGATCATTGGACGTAAGCGTATGGGAAAATCTGTATGGGCGTTCACACTGGGATAGATAACAGTATAGCCATAAATCAAGGATGTTGATGCTAGCTTTTAAGTTACTTGCATTTTTGTTTTTTGCATTGGAGAAATTTATTGCTGGAATAGGAACTTATGTGCAAATTTTTTTTTATAGAAATAAGTTGCCTTTATTAGTTTTCTCATGGGATGGCACACAAAGTTCCAAAAACAATTTTTTTTTATTTATGTTTACTTTGCCAAACAAAATAGAATCCACGTACCCAAAGAAATGATGAGCAATATGCATAACCATATTAGGAGGGAATTTTTGGAATTGCTTTTTTGTTGCCTTGCAAAACCATTTCATATTGCTATCAAGAAAGAAAATTGGAAAAAAGAATAGAATATTCTATGGCTTTCTTGTTAGCGGGAAAGGATATTTCGCCTTGGTACAAGACAATACCATGTATAATATCAAAGTTTATCTCTTTGCCAAGCAGCTTTAGTTTAATGATTAAGGTTGAGGTCCCACGAATTAGAGTTTATAGGTTATAATTTCTCTGCCCATCCCTAGTTTCTTAAATTTTATCCCTCTCTTGTTAGATAAATATTTTTTTTTAAAATCAAAATTTATATTCTTTTCATATTAGAGATAGTCTAGATACACTGAGAAAGTAGAAACAACAGAGCTTCACTTCACAGGTATGTTTCCTACCCTTTTTTTTCGCTTTAAGAGTCTGTTTGATTGGACTGAAAATATTTTCCGGAAGATATTTTCTAGAATTTCCAATGTTTGGTTGCACAAGTGCATGGGAAAATCCTTTCTGCCGGAAAATATTTTACACCAACGGGTGAAAAACAATTTCCCTTCTTGTCCTACTGAAGTTATTTTCCTCACGTTCCGTCATTTCATTTAAAGAAAGGATAATGGCGTGTCCACTACCCTTCAAAGACCATAGTTAAGAACTCAAATCTGTCACACAGTCTTTACCTGTATGATTCCTTGGTGATCGCATTGGTATTTTTGCATGGCAACCTCTCTCTAAACACCCAAATTCTTGCTTTGTCAATCAAGGGCGACTTTTACATCTTACAAGCAAATTCTGATTTTGATTACCTATCTGATCATGATTTTGATATTGGAGTATAGATCTTTGAGAAAAGATACTTCTTTATTGATGAACTAACCTGATGAATCTTAATTTCTACAATACCATTTGCCAGCTATTGGTATTTTTGAAAAACTTCTTGTTGTTTCATAAGACTTCCCCATTGATGATGATTTTCTTTTGCCGCGGGGATGCGTTAGGGATGGTGTTGGGACTGGCAAGGAGGAAGTGGTGGTACTGGGGGGAGTTTTTTGCAGTTGTGGTGACAAGGGGGAAAAGAACGTGGATGGTAGGCATGACGAAGCAAAATGTA